TAAGAACCTAATCCTGACACATATAAGAACCTCATCCTGACACATATAAGAACCTAATCCTGACACATACTACTGACTGGTTTAAAAAAAGAAGCACATCTACTTCCCACACAAATAATTACATAATTGACCAATTTCTACAAGAGAAACTTAGTCTAGTCTTGGCATAAGCTTAAACAAAAATCAATATTTCTTTGTGCTGTTATTTCTGGGGTTTCACTCCCTTCTCCTTTTGAGGATCACTTTCACTGTACAAATATTTCCATAAGTGCTCCCACTTCTCACTGATGGCATACAAATATAGAAAAGTACACAAACCCCACAGATAGAGTGAAAGTTAACCCTGTCACCCCAGGAACACACAAAAATTAAATATAGTTACCCATATAGAGGATTCATATCAAGCGCCACGATGGATTGGAAAAAATTATAGCATAAGGCACGGTACCAGGAAGGAGGGGCAGGGGCCGACAGACACGAAGATGGGCATAGGACATAAGTGACTCCTTGAGTGTGAAAGTTCATGAGGCGGGAGAACTTGCAAGAGACCGAGTTTCTTACAGGCAGACTGTGATGAGAGCGACGTTCTGCAAAGGACCTGCTACATGATGATTATTTATATCCTGGCCTCCAAAAATTTAAGCAGGCGTGAGTTAGGCCAAAGCATTAACTATGCGCATCGTAAACACGTCAGGTAGGAAAGTCGAAACCTAACATTTACAGAGAATTGGACCTAATCAGAATTATGGGTTTTGCAGCTTCTTCTGTCTCCAGGGTTAAATCACTAAAACTGTTCTAGTGCTTGTATTGAAATATGAATAGTGCCATCTAAAAGCAAGTGCATTCCAGACTACCAGAGCAGTGACCTCACTTAGCACAAAACAGATGAAAAAATAAAAAAAATGATGTGTCCGCTTGCTCACTACTTTCCGCAGAGTGATGAAAATGATATAATAACATGCCACGTTTCAAGAACACCTTTTCAGGTATTCATAATGCCCATGACATGGAGCAAAAAAGACTGCGAGTGTGGAGGAAGATCAAAGCTGTGTTAAGGCAGACAAAGAAAATAGTGCACAAGGTCCAAATGGAATCCGCTATGGAGATATTTCTTTGCTGTCTGATAAAGAGTCAGAGGAACTGATATCTACAACAGAAGAATTGAAAGTGTGACGATCAATGAAGAATAGCTACATACCTTTGCCAAAGCCTGGTAAAGACTAAACAACAATACAGGCTATCACAATGAAGAATACAATAAAAAAGCTGCTAGAAAAGACATGTGCAAAGAAAATCTGCCATATGGAGCATATCGCCCAAACAGAGCTGTTACAATTGATCTTAAGAATATCACCCAAACAGAGCTGTTACAATTGATCTTAAGAATATCACCCAAACAGAGCTGTTACAATTGATCTTAAGAATATCACCCAATCAGAGCTGTTACAATTGATCTTAAGAATATCACCCAATCAGAGCTGTTACAATTGATCTTAAGAATATCACCCAATCAGAGCTGTTACAATTGATCTTAAGAATATCACCCAATCAGAGCTGTTACAATTGATCTTAAGAATATCACCCAATCAGAGCTGTTACAACTGATCTTGAGGATATCACCCAAACAGAGCTGTTACAACTGATCTTGAGGATATCGCACAAACAGAGCTGCTACAATTGATCTTGAGGATATCGCCCAAACAGAGCTGCTACAATTGATCTTGAGGATATCACCCAAACAGAGCTGCTACAACTGATCTTGAGGATATCGCCCAAACAGAGCTGCTACAATTGATCTTGAGGATATCAACCAAACAGAGCTGTTACAAGTGATCTTGAGGATATCGCCCAAACAGAGCTGCTACAAGTGATCTTGAGGATATCGCCCAAACAGAGCTGCTACAATTGATCATGAGGATATCACACAAACAGGGCTGCTACAACTGATCTTGAGGATATCGCCCAAACAGAGCTGCTACAATTGATCTTGAGGATATCGCCCAAACAGAGCTGCTACAAGTGATCTTGAGGATATCGCCCAAACAGAGCTGCTACAACTGATCTTGAGGATATCACCCAAACAGAGCTGCTACAACTGATCTTGAGGATATCAACCAAACAGAGCTGTTACAAGTCATCTTGAGGATATCGCCCAAACAGAGCTGCTACAAGTGATCTTGAGGATATCGCCCAAACAGAGCTGCTACAAGTGATCTTGAGGATATCGCCCAAACAGAGCTGCCACAAGTGATCTTGAGGATATCACCCAAACAGAACTGCCACAAGTGATCTTGAGGATATCGCCCAAACAGAGCTGCTACAACTGATCTTGAGGATATTGCCCAAACAGAGCTGCTACAATTGATCTTGAGGATATCAACCAAACAGAGCTGTTACAAGTCATCTTGAGGATATCGCCCAAACAGAGCTGCTACAAGTGATCTTGAGGATATCGCCCAAACAGAGCTGCTACAAGTGATCTTGAGGATATCGCCCAAACAGAGCTGCTACAATTGATCATGAGGATATCACACAAACAGGGCTGCTACAACTGATCTTGAGGATATCGCCCAAACAGAGCTGCTACAATTGATCTTGAGGATATCGCCCAAACAGAGCTGCTACAAGTGATCTTGAGGATATCGCCCAAACAGAGCTGCTACAACTGATCTTGAGGATATCACCCAAACAGAGCTGCTACAACTGATCTTGAGGATATCAACCAAACAGAGCTGTTACAAGTCATCTTGAGGATATCGCCCAAACAGAGCTGCTACAAGTGATCTTGAGGATATCGCCCAAACAGAGCTGCTACAAGTGATCTTGAGGATATCGCCCAAACAGAGCTGCCACAAGTGATCTTGAGGATATCACCCAAACAGAACTGCCACAAGTGATCTTGAGGATATCGCCCAAACAGAGCTGCTACAACTGATCTTGAGGATATTGCCCAAACAGAGCTGCTACAATTGATCTTGAGGATATCAACCAAACAGAGCTGTTACAAGTCATCTTGAGGATATCGCCCAAACAGAGCTGCTTCAAGTGATCTTGAGGATATCACCCAAACAGAACTGCTACAATTGATCTTGAGGATATCGCCCAAACAGAGCTGCTACAATTGATCTTGAGGATATCGCCCAAACAGAGCTGCTACAAGTGATCTTGAGGATATCACCCAAACAGAGCTGCTACAATTGATCTTGAGGATATCACACAAACAGGGCTGCTACAACTGATCTTGAGGATATCGCCCAAACAGAGCTGCTACAATTGATCTTGAGGATATCGCCCAAACAGAGCTGCTACAAGTGATCTTGAGGATATCGCCCAAACAGAGCTGCTACAAGTGATCTTGAGGATATCGCCCAAACAGAGCTGCTACAAGTGATCTTGAGGATATCCCCCAAACAGAGCTGCTACAATTGATCTTGAGGATATCACCCAAACAGAGCTGCTACAATTGATCTTGAGGATATCACCCAAACAGAGCTGTTACGACTGATCTTGAGGATATCACCCAAACAGAGCTGTTACAACTGATCTTGAGGATATCACCCAAACAGAGCTGCTACAATTGATCTTGAGGATATCACCCAAACAGAGCTGCTACAATTGATCTTGAGGATATCACCCAAACAGAGCTGTTACGACTGATCTTGAGGATATCACCCAAACAGAGCTGTTACAACTGATCTTGAGGATATCACCCAAACAGAGCTGCTACAATTGATCTTGAGGATATCGCACAAACAGAGCTGCTACAATTGATCTTGAGGATATCGCACAAACAGAGCTGCTACAACTGATCTTGAGGATATCACCCAAACAGAGCTGCTACAACTGATCTTGAGGATATCACCTTTTTCTTCTTATTTGCATGTGTGTGTATATGTGTGTGTGTAGCCAGATTATGACTACAGAAAAAACTGGAAGGTGTAATAAAAAAAAATAATCGCAGATTTACTGAAGAAATTGAGGAAGACAATTAATCCTAATAATATATCATAAAACCGGTGTGGCAACACATCATAAATCATACGTCATAATGCATCATAAAGCATGTTAATTTATCAAAATTGATCTATTTACATAAAATAAACATGTTGAAATACTTCACATAACTCGATGAAGCATATGAAAAGTGACAATTATTTTTTTTTAAATGTATTCAACTAGTGCTTTCCTCTGAATAACGGGCACAAATGATGGCGGCCAATAACAGGGCCTCAGTCACGTGTCAAATGCGCACTTTTGGCGACTACCGCCATGGCTAACGCGGCGTGGGGGACTCTTCGCGGTGGTCGCTGGAAAACCGCAAATTAAGTCGCCGGAAGTGAGCAATTGACACGTGACTGAGGCGCTGTTAGGATGTTTTTGCGGACGCCATCTTTTGTGCCCGTTATTCAGAGGATAGCCGCAACTAGTTATTACATACAATAAAACTGACCCCCAAAAAATTGCCAATTACTGCCTTTATACACCACTTTTGTGGTGTAGGGGGGGGGGGGTCTTTGAGCCCGAGGATTTACGGCTGCATGGCTAGTGCTGTCGCCACGACTGTGCAGGTGAGGATTATATTTTGCCCCTACAGAAAAAATATTCCTAGCCTTACCGAGGATTTGAACCTGGGTATCCCCACACGAGAGCCCAGCATTCTAGCCGCTTCTCATACAATAAAACTAATAAGTCAATATCTTTTCTTTTTACTGTTCACCAGCTGTAAACTTTGGCGGAAAGTTCTGGTTGTTTGTCCACTTCTGTACTGCAGCCCTGCTCCAGATCTTGAGTGTTGCGCGTGCATCCGTTTGAAAGATCTGACTAATCTGTATGCAGACTGTTAGTTCCTTGTCTCTCAGGCAGATGCACTCCGACTTTGAAGGAAGCTCCCAATTAGTCGACACTTACATCATGCTTTTGGGTAGTCAATTTGATATGAAACAGATGTGTTAATAAACCATGAAGCTTTACAAAAAGAAATAGGACATACAAATACTCACTTCTAACGGAACGCCAGAGTTTATATAACTATCCCCAACAATGTATGTGAGGTGTTTGTCTGTCTGAATGAATGCTGAAATCAGACACAAAAGAGGGCATTAGACATCAAGAAAATATAATCACCACCCAGATTTTCAGCACAGAGAGAACCGTATTTTCACAAAACAAAGTTGACTGAACAAATGATACATTCACTAGTCAGAGAACATGTTTTGAGCACTAAGACAATCAGACTGCCACCAAATGGTCTGCTAATGGTGCCAGGAAACTTGAAAGAGAGCTCCCTCAGATAGGCTTGTGGTTCCAAGGGCTGACTATATCATTTTTCATCATCATTTCCTTTTAGCAACTCAGCGTGTTAGGCAGACTCCATTATTTGTGGCTGTTTAGTTGTGTTAACCATGGATACCAGCAGATCAACATACTACAGTACTTCTTCTTCTTCTTCTTCACTTCCTCTTTTACCGCTGTGGGTGTCGAGGGAGATATAAGGTTCTGTTTCTAGCTACTACAGTACTGCTTGCTACAATATCTTACAATTTTATGTGTGGGTTTCGAGGCCCCATGGTGGGGGGGAGGCGGGGGAGGGGGAACTGCTTCCTATCAAGCATATGTAAAAGGTGTAAAAGTAGGACGGATCAATATCACGGCACAAGGATGTAAACCCATAAGTGCTCCATTCTACTTCTAACTCAAGCCTGAGTCTGAAGAATCTCATTGCAGTGCACCAACACACGGGTGAGGAAACTGAAATAATTTTTGGGTCCATTTTTAACTCCAAATGTTGCCCGGGCAGCGTCGTTAGGCTACTCTTTTTGATTTCCAACTGCCAAGGTATTTTTGATGTGCGCAACAATATACACGGGCACCGCTCTTACTACCCAAAGACCAGGGGAAAATAACAAAAGTCCACGTGAAAAAAATCACAATTCCCCGAGGTCTGAACCCGGGACCTCCAGCACTCTAGGTGGACGCAATACCTCGAGACCGCGCAGCCCCGAGTCGGAGTGCATTTGTCTGAGGTGAAAAACCAACAGTCTGCATACAAATAAGCAAATCTGTAAACTGGATGTGCATACAAAATTCAAGTTCTGAGACAAGGTCAAGTCCAGAAGTGAACAAACAACCAGAAATGTCTGCCACAGTTTAAAGCTGGTGAAAGCCAAGAAGACGAAGAAAATTAAAAACTATCAAAGAGTATTTATTCAGCAGCAAACAAATGGAATGAAAGTTAAATGCATCCTAAAATAAATGCCCAAGGCAGCTAATGAACATTAAAGGGGATAAATTCAAGAAAGGTGAATAAATAATTAAATAAGATAAATGTTTTGACAACATCTTGTATCATCAGTTATAAGACGATGGCAAAATATTGGGAACATGAAGAAAAAATGCAGAATCAGAAAAAGAGACACTGAGAACCAAATGGATTGAGGAATTGAGAAGGTTTAAGAGAAATGAGTGAGGCCAAAAGTGCCAGACTGAGTTCTATCCATATCATATGATCACACAGAACAGCATGGAGGACTAAACAGCAAGTACTGTGTGTACAACAGGATGATGATGATGTACTTCTACTATAGGTATTGTTAATCTTTTCCTCAATGTGCCACCATATACCAATATCTTATGTGAAAACTAGTTCAAAAAGAAAGAGCCAGTTATTTGAATACAAGCCTTTCCCATTTGGTGACAAGGATTTAATCCCTTAATCCCAGGAAGTCAATGATTTTCATCTCTCACGAGGAGGCAAATTTTAATTCTCAAAAAAAAACAACATTAAGTACAAATAACAGACCACTACTGTAGCAATACGCAGCAATTGCTACACAGCCAGTTCAGTCGTAATCCTCCACCGCATTTCCTTTTCTATCAATTACTCGCCTGGCAACTCATCCAGTTGAATAATCAATGAATATGATTCAACAAATTGTATAGTGGCAAATGCTGTGTCACGTACGCTTATAATATACAATTTTTTCATTACAAAAATAGATTTCATAGAGTCGAATCATACAGGCTTGGATTTTACACTTTAACCAACTACAACATTAAGTTATATTAAAAATTGATGTCATGTTAAAAAGAATCTAAGCAATACTTTGATATGTTCAGGCAAACATATCACAGACATTTATTAAACATACAAACAGTACATGAAAAAAAAATATTAACGTATTACTGGGGGGCGAAAACACACACACCCAAATCTCAAGCAGAGAAGATATTTTCCCCCTGTTGTGGTAGAAGACTGCCCCTCCTCTCCCCACAATAAACATGTCCTAATAGGCAACCAATTAGGGGTTTGATGAAAGGTACAAACATCACAGCCTATATGTAAATCACAACACAACATGTCTACTGCCCTTTCAAGAGTAAAGACAGAAGAAGAAGCAGTAGTACACAGCTGTGCACTAGGTTTTCCAATACATGTTTGTATGCTTTCTTCTCCAAGACAGAAGTAGTAGTAGTACACAGTTGTACGCTATCTTCTCCGAGACAGAAATAGTAGTAGTACACGTATGTATGCTATCTTCTCCAAGATAGAAGAAGTAGTAGTACACAGTTGTAGGCTATCTTCTTCAAGACAGAAGATGAAGTACAAGTTTGTATGCTATCTTCTCAAAGACAGAAGATGAAGTACAAGATTGTATGTTATCTTCTCAAAGACAGAAGAAGTAGTAGTAGTACATGTTTGTATGCTTTCTTCTCCAAGACAGAAGAAGTAGCAGTAGTACACATTTGTATGCTTTCTTCTCCAAGACAGAAGAAGTAGCAGTAGTACACATTTGTATGCTTTCTTCTCAAAGACAGAAGAAGTAGCAGTAGTACACATTTGTATGCTTTCTTCTCCAAGACAGAAGAAGTAGCAGTAGTACACATTTGTATGCTTTCTTCTCCAAGACAGAAGAAGTAGCAGTAGTACATATTTATATGCTTTCTTCTCCAAGACAGAAGAAGTAGCAGTAGTACACATTTGTATGCTTTCTTCTCCAAGACAGAAGAAGTAGCAGTAGTACACATTTGTATGCTTTCTTCTCCAAGACAGAAGAAGTAGTAGTAGTACACATTTGTATGCTTTCTTCTCCAAGACAGAAGAAGTAGTAATAGTAGTACATGTTTGTATGTTATCTTCTCCAAGACAGAAGAAGTAGTAGTAGTAGTACATGTTTGTATGTTATCTTCTCAAAGACAGAAGTAGTATTTGTACACATTTGTATGCTATCTTCTCCAAGACAGAAGAAGTAGTAGTAGTACACATTTGTATGCTTTCTTCTTCAAGACAGAAGAAGTAGTAGTAGTAGTACATGTTTGTATGTTATCTTCTCAAAGACAGAAGAAGTAGTAGTAGTACACATTTGTATGCTATCTTCTTCAAGACAGAAGAAGCAGTAGCAGTATACATTTTTTTGACGTTTTCTCCAGTCATTGATGCACATTATATTCATAAATTAATGTTCCCCTTTTCACCCAGCAAGCCTTTTTTTTTTTTTTTAGCCATGACAAATTGTTTCTTTCAACAGGACTGGCTGGTGACGCTCTGAAAAGTTATTTGTTTTTAGCCACGACTATTGATATGAATTCCCCATTTCCAGACCAGATGTCAAAAGGTTTCGTCAGCTAGTTATAAGGCTGGCTGCTTGGCATGACACAGCATGCTGTAATACCGCGTGCAATGTATTTTTCTGTTGTGCTTGCAATGCATTTGTGTTGTGAACTGAACAAACAATGGCAGGTGGCCGATTATGTTCAGAATGGTGGGTAACTTATGCACTATTGCGGGTGCAATGCTGAATTTTTGAACTAACTACTTGCATCAATCGTGAGTTGCAATTCTGGTGGTGGACAGTTACTGTTGGCACATCTGACAGCTGTGTTATGCAATTACTTTGCAAGTGCAAGCTTCAAGATTTAGCTGGAACTGATATGTTTATCACTAATTTCCAAATGGGACAATGAAGGTCATTTTATGTAACTGCCACTGGCAAAAGAAGACAGAAGTTATTTGGCGACCCATCAGCAGCGAATCTCAACAAAACATGAAGAGCAAAAATTTGTATGACTGTACACATGACAATAATAATCCGCTTAAAGCCAATCAATTCTGAAATATGTTTCCCATTGTAAGACATCTGGGTCACCTATGAACAAACAGCCGTGCTGCAACTTTTTCAATAGCTATAAAATGAGCTAAAAATATTTATGGGTTAAGACTGTGCTCTACACTTATAAAATACAATACTGCCTTCAAATCTGCTTACCATTACAGCATCTGCAATATATTCCCATGTGCTTGATAAAGGACTTACACTTATATTTACTCTATAAACCTACAGATACTTTTCCTGAAACCTAAATCTACTCTATAAACCTACAGATACTTTTCCTGACACCTATATCTACTCTATAAACCTACAGATACTCTTCCTGACACCTATATCTACTCTATAAACCTACAGACACTCTTCCTGACACCTATATCTACTCTATAAACCTACAGACACTCTTCCTGATACCTATATCTACTCTATAAACCTACAGACACTCTTCCTGACACCTACTCTATAAACCTACGGATACTTTTCCTGACACCTATATCTACTTCATAAACCTACAGATACTCTTCCTGACACTTATATTTACTCTATAAACCTATACTCTTCCTGAAACCTATATGTATATAAACCTACAGATACTCTTCTTGATACCTACTCACACGCACATATCTGCGTTTATGCCCGTGTATGTGTCTCTGTGTTGTGCACGTGTGTAGGTGTATCTGTGCGTGCGTCTTTGTTGTGTGTATGAGTGTGCAAGTGTATGCATGCATTTTTACTAATCAGGCTCTTGTGTGTTTTCTTGATATTCATAATATGCAATATTATTATATGAACATAACATGCTTTATTGATAATAAACAACTGCTGTGTGAAAGATGGGTGCCTAGGAGGGCAGAATGTAAGCTAAGATGGGCCTGCATGGACAATTTGTGACCTTTTGAAAATAAAGTGTTTGTTTGTTTATTCTCCTCTACACTATAAACCTACATAGACACACTTCTTGACACCTACTCTACACCATAAACCTACATAGACACTCTTCTTGACACCTACTCTACACCATAAACCTACATAGACACTCTTCTTGACACCTACTCTACACTATAAACCTACATAGACACTCTTCTTGACACCTACTCTACACTATAAACCTACATAGACACTCTTCCTAACACCTATTCTACACTATAAACCCAAACAGATACTCTTCTTGACACCTACTTTATACTAAAAACCTACACAGATACTCTTCTTGACACCTACTCTACACTATAAACCTATACAGATACTCTTCTTGACACCTATTCTGTACTAAAAACCTATACAGATACTCTTCTTGACACCTACTCTACACTATAAACCTATACAGATACTCTTCTTGACACCTACTCTACACTATAAACCTATACAGATACTCTTCTTGACACCTACTCTACACTATAAACCTATACAGATACTCTTCTTGACACCTACTCTACACAATAAACCTATACAGATAATCTTCTTGACACCTATTCTACACTAAAAACCTATACAGATAATCTTCTTGACACCTACTCTATAAACCTACAGATACTCTTCCTGACACATATATCTACTCTATAAACCTACAGATACTCTTCCTGACACCTATATCTATAAACCTACAGATACTCTTCCTGATACCTATATCTACTCTATAAACCTACAGACACTCTTCCTGACACCTACTCTATAAACCTACGGATACTTTTCCTGACACCTATATTTACTCTATAAACCTACAGATACTCTTCCTGACACTTATATTTACTCTATAAACCTATACTTTTCATGAAACCTATATGTATATAAACCTACAGATACTCTTCTTGATACCTACTCACACACTATAAACCTACATAGACACTCTTCCTGACACATATTCTACACTATAAACCCAAACAGACACTCTTCTTGACACTTACTCTATACTATAAACCTATACAGATACTCTTCTTGACACCTACATGTACACTATAAACCTATACAGATACTCTTCATGACATCTATATCCACCCTATAAACCTACAGACACTCTTTCTGATACCTATTTAACACTAGTATAAACCTTTACAGATGTTCTTCTTGACACCTACATGTACACTATAAACCTTTACAGATGTTCTTCTTGACACCTACATGTACACTATAAACCTTTACAGATGTTCTTCTTGACACCTACATGTACACTATAAACCTATATAGCTGTTCTTCTTGACACCTACATGTACACTATAAACCTATACAGATGTTCTTCTTGACACCTACATGTACACTATAAACCTATACAGATGTTCTTCTTGACACCTACATGTACACTATCTAGTTTAGCTCTAATCCATGCCACGTGAGCGGTGGTGGTATAGTCCCAGGAAGTCTGCAATTCGGCGGTAGTGGCATAGTCCCTGGAAGTCCGTAATTGACACGTGACTGAGACCCTGTTAGGGTATATTTTAGGCCTCGATTTGGGACCGTTATTCGGAGGATAGCCAGATTATCTTTTTCACAAAGCACTCTTTACAATATTATTTACATCTAGCCTTAATTTAAAAACATTTTGGCCAAATCTACAGATAATCTTCACACAGCACTCATAATTTTCTAAATACCATAAATTCACTGCAAAAAACCGCCCTACTTTAGAGTTACTCTCTACAAATACTCATAGTTAATTTACATCATATCACCCTCCTAAAGTAAAGGGTGTAGGAATTCCACCTTGTTTATTGTTAAGTAAATTATTATAATAAATAACAAGTCTTTCTTTAGTTCTATTGATGTTTTACTTACATTGTTTTTATAGTCTAATTTTTCAAACACCTAGTCTCCATTTGTTCTACCTCTATCTAAACACATGTGAACATTACTATTTCAGTACAGTTAGTATCAAATTACATTTTTTTTTCTTTTTTTTACTTTTCTTTTACTTTTACCGTTTGCTTACTTTTACTGATTCCGATATGAGATCATTCATTATACAATTTAAAGCTTCAGTCACATCATTTCACTATATGTGTATGAACTGTAGCCTTTGTGTGTCTTGTCGAGCCGTAAAAGACAGTGAGTGTCACTTAAAAATGCTGTGATGTAATTTGTTTATAGTACAATTTTATTATTACTTCTGTGGTCGTTGGGATCGTCGCGACAAGAGAAGCACCAAGCTCGTCACTAACCAACCGTCGGTTTTGTAAATTTATTCTTTTAGACACATATACATACAAGACTAGAGGCAATAGGCAGCATACCTTGATTATGACTTTCTACTGCAGCGACATATGTTGTGTAGAAGTGAAATGTGTGCACGACAAGCAATAGTTGAACAAATTCTAACACTTTGCTGCTCGAGTAAACATCCAGTCGCGCCATCTTCCCATGCTGTAAGGTCAATCTGAATATAATTATTCAATAACTATCCTGCTCAAATAAACACGATCCCGCTTGGCGAAAATACAAGTAATTATTATAAACTTGTCGTGGAATATGTTGAAGCGACGAAATCAGAGGCAGAAGGTAGATATTTGGGAGTTAGCGACTGCGATATTTTGCGAAACTAATTCCTGTTGAAGCGGGTAGCTTTACGAGTGGGGAGACTAGCTGGCTTTTGATTGGCTGTTCTCTTGGCAACTTGGCCGAGTCCACAGCTGGCTGGTCCCTTTCTCGGACCTGGGTCCCCATAAGATTCCGCAAGTAAGTTCTATTTGTTGCTTTCTAGGGTTGTCTTTTAGTTGTTGAGAGACAGAACGAACACAGTTAAATTGGTAAGATTATAGTATTACAGCAGGGTAATTGCTGGAGTCAGGTTGTCATAATGTGACGGACGGGTCTATCCTTGGTGTTGTTGTTGTTCCTGTCCTGTCGTCTGCTCCGCCACGTATCGCGTTTATCGTCTGCTACTAGTACGGTAATATCGTGTGCAAATGTTGCAGAAATATTGGTTGTCAAGTAATCCTAGTTTTTGCCGCGATTTGTTCGTTGGCAGAAAGTCCGTATTTTAGATGTACGCGAACACCGTCGTTCGGATATTTTTGGATATTTTATGGCCAGAATGTGGCATGCCGCCATTTTGGGGAATAAATCAAAGAAGCGCCGACGGGTCTAACCTCTGTGTTGCTTCCGTCGTCTGCTTTTTTGACGTGGCCTCGAACAAGCTTAAAAAAGATACGAACTTTTACTACTAAAACTATTGATTTTTTTTTTTTTTTGGTCTCTGAATCCGACTAACTACAAGATGCAGAAATAAATTATATGTCTGTGTTGCCTTTTCTACAAATGGTGGCCATATACCATGGTCACTCTCCACTGTGCTGTACCATTCTTGGACATGAGTCCCGTACTGTAGTGTTACTGCTGTCACTTCTTTCTCATACATGACACATGCACACAAGATATAAGTAGGTAAAGATTCCCTTTTCATGCCTTCAGACACAACGGTCATATGGGAAGGGCACCCATATTTTTACAGACCTATCTATACTAGGTGGATAATGTGGTCAGTATTACGCAGGCCGTCTTTACTTCCCTAGGATGTACATCCTGATACCCATTTTAGGCTAAGTCGACCTGCAACGCTTCATACTATGATAAAAATCCACGCAGCCAGCAGTGGGTTTCGATCGCTGTAAGTCAGACTCGCAGCGCCTAAGCCACGGCTGCCGCTTTTTACACAAGATATAAAGTAATTCAATACTGCTATTTTAACTCTTGTATTTCTTCTTGTCTTTGAATGAGACAAGCCTTCAGGTACAAGAAAATATACATTATTTGTCCATCCTGTCTTTCCTTTGAGTGTTGGCCACATCTTCTAGTCATTCTCTGCTGTACAGTTCTTTGAAGTAATCCCCCAGATGACTCATTTAGTAAGTTCTGCTTGTTCTCTTTATGAGATTATGTTTCACATGCTGGAATCTTTTTAAGTGGGGTTGCCATAGTGTGACAGACTGGACATAGTTTAACAGACAGGTCCTAGTATTACATACGGGTCATGCTATTACAGATGGGTCTGTCCTGTATGTTGTTGGTTCTTTTTGCTGTCATCACCGTATGTGACCTCCCTCTCTTGATAACTCATTCATTCATTGTATTCGTCACTGGAAAATTATTCCTGTGCCTGTACATGTCACAAGTTTTAAAAGGGCATGATAGCCCATGCTGGTCGGCAAAGCAGTTTGTGAGGATGAAAATAATTTGTGTTTGTTTATCTTCATTAATTTGTAGTTATCTGTCTTCATTAATTAATTTTTTCTTTTAATCTCCATCAGTGTTCTCAGACTGGCTTTATGGATGGTGGACCACACTTTACTTCATTCTGCTCAGACCAATGCTGAAGTGGGTCCTTCGAAAGGTTACAGGAAAATGTGAATTACTCAGGATTACATATGAGGAAGGAGATACTATTGAGCGGACAAAAAGAATTGGTTAGTCTGCAAGTAAACTATTTATTTATAAAACGCTCATCTATGGAACTGAAGGTCGTAGGTTTAATCAAATCTGAATGGAGATGGACTTTTTCCTTTCAGAAATGACCTTGGCTTCCAGATTGACCCAGCTTTAAATGGGTTCCAGAGGGAGTCCTATAAACTGAGGGAGGACCAGTATAGTGTTGAGCACATTACCCACCGGGTGCCAGTTGATCTATAAAATATAGGTTTAGCACCAAATGTCTAGTAGCCTAATAGCATGGAGAAGGGTCTTTTTATGAGTTGAGTTGAGCTGATTCAATAATCGACATCACAGCACTCAGGGCATTCTCTTAAGTGCTCAGTCCCTTTCTTCAGCAGCCAACACAGAGCTTCAATACCAGTGGTAGCAATCTGATTATATGTCCATCTTGCCTTTCCTCTCAGCATTGAGCATTGGCCAGATCCCCTCCTCACTGCATCTCATCAGACTGTGATGATAAATCTGCTGTTCCAAATTGTACTTATTCTCAAATAAGGCCTCCCATAAAGCCTTAACCATTATAGTTCCATAACACCACATATTGTTGGGTCACCAATTGTTGGAATTGATCAGCTGCTTCCTTGGTATTTGTAAATTTGAGGCTCGTACATTTATCCAGATTCTGTATCCAGGTCTTTCTTGATCTGCCTCTTCTCCTTTTCTCTCTACTGAGTCCTGTAGTATCCTTTTGGAGAGACCAGTATATCATGTTGATGTCCATGTCTTTGAATTTTCCATCTTTTTCATTGTTGTTAACAAAAGGTTCATAGTTTCCTTTGTGCTGAGTGATTTTATGGCGAACTTTGTCATTCTATATATACAGAATATATATGCAGCATGTCCTAGGAGGCGACTAATTAGGGGTGTGTCCTTCAAAGTCAGAGTGCATCTGACTGAGAGGTGAGGAATCAGCAGCCTGCATGCTTGTAAGCCAGGTCTGTAAAACTGATTAGCAGATAAATCTCAAATTCTAGAACAGGACCAAAGCCCAAAAGTGTGTGAACAACCAGAACTTTTGGTTGAAGTTTACAGCCTGTGAACGCTAAGAAGAAGGAGGAGAGCTGTAGTTGCCACTTTTGTAATTCATCTTGTAATTCATGGTGTCTAATTTATTCATCTTGTAATTCATGGTGTCTAATTTATTCATCTTGTAATTCATGGTGTCTAATTTATTCATCTTGTAATTCATGGTGTCTAATTTATTCATCTTGTAATTCATGGTGTCTAATTTATTCATCTTGTAATTCATGGTGTCTAATTTATTCATCTTGTAATTCATGGTGTCTAATTTATTCATCTTGTAATTCATGGTGTCTAATTTATTCATCTTGTAATTCATGGTGTCTAATGTATTCATTGATGTCTACAGAGGACTCTCTGAGACATTCAAGGAACTCAGAGCTGAAAACTTGTGCAACAAGTGTAGACTTCATTGTTGAGGAGTCCGCCAAGACAATAGCATCTATAAAAAGTGTTGTTCCTGAGGTCCACCCACGGTAAGTTAAGAGAACTTAAGGAACATTTACAATCAGGTACTTGTGACCTTTTTCAGTAACTTTTTCTCTTTCTACATGTAACGATAAGGAATTAACTAAAAATATGGTGACAGCCGGCAAGCTTAAAAGGAAAAGGGTGAAAAGGAAGACAGAGATAAATATCTGGATGATTTAGCCACATGTATGGGTTGGGACAAGAGCACAGAGTTGATCAGTGATTCTGGGGATTGTTTGGGATAGTGAATCATGTCCTTGTTCTAGTACTTGAGTGTTACCTGCAGATCTTGCTTATTTGTATGCAGACTGTTGGTTCCTTGCATCTTAGGTAGATGCAATCTGGCGTTAAAGGAAAAATTGATCCTATCTACATTGGCCAGGCTCGCAGTTGGGGAACCTGTTTCTAGGGTGACCACGGAGAGGCATAGACAGATCTTGACCAGTTTGAACCCTGGACCTCCTAATCCACCATGTTGGGTTCAACAACTCTGCTTCCCCTACAACAGAGCTGTTTAACGGGCGGACCAAATCAGACCTGTTGACAGCTAACAGGTAGCCCACAGCTCATGGCCAGTTGCCTTGAATTAATGATCTTTCTTTGCCAGGGCTCAAGCCTGTGTCCCATGTCGATGCCCATGTTCAAAATGTTGGCCCTTGGATAAAAAACAAACTGTCATTCTGTATTTGCCATTCTAGGAAGGGGGTGGGTGGGGGTGGGGGCATAAGCCTGCGGATTGATAGCCCCCTGGCTAGTTTCATCACCACAGGCTACAGGTTCGGATGTTTATTTTTGCCCCCAACAGAAAAACTCCATCACCTTACCAAAGCCCTACCCTACAATTTATCAGTATGGTTACAGGAGCCACAGTGATGCAGTGGCTAGCATGCTCGTCTGATAGTCATGTGATCGAACCTCTTTCTTGCAGCAGGACAATTTGATAAAATCTTACCTGCGCTTCCAGGTTGACTCAACCTAATTTAGATACCAGGAAATTTCTGGATAGTAAAGGCAGCCATTGTAGTGTTGGCCACATCAGCCATTCAGTGCTGCTTGGGTTGTAAAACAAAATGCCAAGTTCAAAGGTCATGTGAAATGGCTAATTAGTACAAGTTTTCCTAACACTATCATCATCGTCGTCTGGGTCTGCCTGGGGAAAAAACTTGATCTCTCACCAGTTCTCCCGCCTCGTGTGCTTTCATCTTCAAGGATTCACTTATATCCTGTGCCCTTCTTTGTCTTGGCCAGCCCCTGCCCCTCCTTCCTGGTACTATGCCTTCTGCTATTTTTTTTTTTTTTCAATCTGCCATGGCGCTTGATTTGACCAAAAAATTTCAGCTACCAAAACAAGATGCCGTTTATTACCCAATCTTCCTTGATGTTAAGAGCCGTTAAAATGTCAGTATTTTTTCTCTTCTTCTTCTGAAGAACAATATATGCATGCAAGAAATACTACTGCCCTTGCTGCCTATATTAATCACTTTTTATATTGGTGTAGGACATACCACTCTTTTAAAAACTTTACTGGAGAGAAATGTCGAGAGCAAGAGGTAGTCAACGATATAAGTGGGAGGACAACATGAAGAGATGGAGGAATAGTACTATGAAAGAGTGTGCAGCTAAGACAAGAGACAGGGCATGCTGGAGATCCATTGTAGCCAACCTTCATAGGGGGGGGGGGGGGGGGGGCAGCACCTGATTGGTTGACTGAGGCCAGATTTCTTTAGTGTAAGGATTCAGGGTCACATAGCTAGTGCAGCTGCCACAAACTGTGCAGTTTATAATGTTTATTTTTGCCCATAATATGGTACAACTTCCATCATCTAACAGAGGATCTGAACCTGGGTCCCACTCGTGACAGCCCAGCATTCCAGCCACCTGATCAGCTACTGCTCAAATGTGCATGTACTTTTGAAATAATTACCTTGACACATTTTTATGGGAGCCTACAAGGCCTTTTTTATGCTGGTATGCAGTCATATCAAGCGCCACGACGGATTGGAAACGATTATAGCAGAAGGCATGGTACCAGGAAGGAGAAGCAGGGGCCGACTGACACGAAGATGGGCACAGGATATAAGTGACTACTTGAGTGTGAAAGTCCATCAGGCGGGAGAACTGGCGAGAGACCGAGTTTCTTTCAGGCAGACTGTGATGAGAGGGACCTTCTGCAAAGGACCTGCTACATGATGATGATGATGCAGCAGTAACATCTTTGTGTAGAATTTTGTTCAGTATCACTGTAATAGACACTTTGAAGTGAGTGTTGGCACATTTTTTTAAGACACTTTTTGTTCGAGTACTGGCACCTTTTTTCTAGCAGTTACGCCCTGGGTACACATATTTTATTTTTTCTTGGTAGGTTTGAGAATTCTCTACGTGACTGCTTACAGCGGATCAAAACCTACAATAAAATATTAGCTGAGGCTGAAGAGTTGCGAAAAGAGAAATTTTCTAAAGCTGACCCAACACACGAGGCTAAGTTGGTTCAGGTAATTTTTAATTAGATGTTGCAACATTTAACTCTTTGAGTCCCAAAGAACGCATCAAACATTCATATGTTCCTACCTAGAAGCCCAACTAACGCAAGATGCACCGATTTTACATCTCTCCTGACTACTCCTTGGGCATCCGGTGCCAAAGCCCTTGGACTCAAAGAGTTAATAAGCAGTAGCGTTCATTCATTGTCGTGTTGTGCCATTATATGTCACATAAGGCTCACAGTCGATTTTTCCGTTTCCTTCCATCCTGTACAGTCACTTGAGTGTCTTGACTGTTAGCATCAGCACTGAGCTGCAATGCTACTAGGAGGCTGTTAGTGATGGAACATCTTATGGCTGCCTTATACATTTACTTTACATGTGCGAACTTCACAATTTTGCTGCAACTGATATGTTTTTTACTAGTTTTTCAAATGGAGCAGCAAAGGACATTTTATGTGATTGCCACTGGTGCAGGAGCAGAGCAGTTTTGGAATAACCCGTCTGTGTAGTTGGAACCTCAGCTGACTCGCGACTCACTTCCGTATCATGGATTGAATCAAGTCCAGCACCTTTGGCTTCTCTCAGCAACTTTCGCCTTAAGGTTTCTCTTGGACCTCTATGTTTCCTCAGTGTGTCTATTCCAATTTCAGTGCTAGTTTGGTGATTCTCTGCTTATTTCTGCTCAACATGTGTTTATTATAGCATCATTTCTCTATCTTGTTACTGTGATACTAGTGTTTGCCCAGACATTTCTTTGTCTTGTTGCTGTGATACTAGTGTTTGCCCTGACATTTCTCTATCTTGTAACTGTGATACTAGTGTTTGCCCAGACATTTCTTTGTCTTGTTGCTATGATTCTAGTGTTTGCCCAGACATTTCTCTATCTTGTTACTGTGATACTAGTGTTTGCCCTGACATTTCTCTATCTTGTTACTGTGATACTAGTGTTTGCCCTGACATTTCTCTATCTTGTTACTGTGATACTAGTGTTTGCCCTGACATTTCTCTATCTTGTTACTGTGATACTAGTGTTTGCCCTGACATTTCTCTATCTTGTTACTGTGATACTAGTGTTTGCTCTGACATTTCTCTATCTTGTTACTGTGATACTAGTGTTTGCCCTGACACTTCTCTGTCTTGTTGCTGTAATTATAGTGTTTGCCCTGACATTTCTCTGTCTTGTTACTATGATACTAGTGTTTGCCCAGACATTTCTCTATCTTGTTACTGTGATACTAGTGTTTGCCCTGACATTTCTCTATCTTGTTACTGTGATACTAGTGTTTGCCCAGACATTTCTCTATCTTGTTACTGTGATACTAGTGTTTGCCCTGACATTTCTCTATCTTGTTACTGTGATACTAGTGTTTGCCCAGACATTTCTCTATCTTGTTACTGTGATACTAGTGTTTGCCCTGACATTTCTCTATCTTGTTACTGTGATACTAGTGTTTGCCCTGACATTTCTCTATCTTGTTACTGTGATACTAGTGTTTGCCCTGACATTTCTCTATCTTGTTACTGTGATACTAGTGTTTGCCCAGACATTTCTCTATCTTGTTACTGTGATACTAGTGTTTGCCCAGACATTTCTCTATCTTGTTACTGTGATACTAGTGTTTGCCCAGACATTTCTCTGTCTTGTTACTGCAATACTAGTGTTTGCCCAGACATTTCTCTATCTTGTTACTGTGATACTAGTGTTTGCCCAGACATTTCTCTGTCTTGTTGCTGTAATTATAGTGTTTGCCCTGACATTTCTCTATCTTGTTACTGTGATACTAGTGTTTGCCCAGACATTTCTCTGTCTTGTTACTGCAATACTAGTGTTTGCCCAGACATTTCTCTATCTTGTTACTGTGATACTAGTGTTTGCCCTGACATTTCTCTATCTTGTTACTGTGATACTAGTGTTTGCCCAGACATTTCTCTGTCTTGTTACTGCAATACTAGTGTTTGCCCAGACATTTCTCTATCTTGTTACTGTGATACTAGTGTTTGCCCAGACATTTCTCTATCTTGTTACTGTGATACTAGTGTTTGCCCAGACATCTCTATGTCTTGTTACTGTGATGCTAGTGTTTGCCCAGTAATTTCTTTTCTTGTTCTCTTCTCTTTAATTAATCCCATTTTACATCCTTTTTGAATACATTTAACATTGGTTCCAAACAGTATTAGCATATCTAATTAAATGTTGTGTTTCTAAAAAATACAATATATACCATTTTTTACTTTAAAATGGACACTTTTCAAATCAAACTAGACATTTGTTAAATCATACAGAATGTTTTTCAAATTAAACTGGACATTTTTCAAACCACACCGGATGTTTTTCAAACCAAGCTGGGTGATTTTTAAATCAAATATGACACTTTTCAAAGCAAACTGGACACAGTTTGATTTCAGCAATGAATACTTCTTAACAAAGAAAGTAATGGCAAAGAAAATCACATCTTTCAAGATGAAAGGCTGTTATGTTGCTGCTGTTGTAGTCAAGTCCATCATCATATGGAGAATGTAATTTGTGCAATCTTGCTGTGTTACTGTTCTAATGCTTTCTTAAATAGCCTTGCTTTGTGTCTGGTCAGGCATCTGATTGCACAGCAGGCGCTTTGCTGATGCCTTTAACTTGGAGAACAGATTTTCTGTTGGGTTCAGCGTGTAGGAGTAAGGTGACAGGAACTTATAGATGATAGGACGAGCCCGTATTCTCCCTAGATCATCTGGTTTGTGGATTCTGGCATTGTCCATTATCAGATATGCTTCGTTCAGCTATCCCTGTCACCTATACATGTCACAAGCTCTTTGACAAATGTGCAGTCATCGTTGATCTTTGAGTGAACTATGCCTCGGTTGTCAATTGCCACAATTAGTGTCACCATACGGCCTCTCACTGTGGGCAGGATAATGTTTGATCTCGTCCCTCTCCTCAAACGAGCCTGTGTCTTCGTAAATGAAAATTGAATTCAGACTCATCAATGAAGATGCAATTCTCCTTGATTTATGGAGCATGTGCTGAGAAGTCAAGAGCATAAGTTTTCCGGCCTAAAATCATCGTGATGCTGTTGACTCAGTCAGGTTCATAATGGCACTAATTTAGGGTGATCTTGACCTTTTTGAGGCCATTGAAAATTGTAGATACGGCCAAATCAGTCCTTTTCTCCTTCCTTCGCTGCTGTATCTGCACCAAAGTATCATCTGGATTCGTTCAATGAGGTTTTCAGTGCGCTGCAAGACATTGGGTGTGCAGCTTCTCTTTGTTGTTTCCACCGCAGTTTCGCTGGAAAATGGCACCTTCTCATCTGTAGGCACTAAGGATGTTTCTTGCTGTGCTCTCGTTGATACAAGCGACTTGAACTGCCTCGTGGGTAGTTTTTCCTCGACTAACACAAGCTTAATAAGAGCTTTTTTATGCGCTAAGGAGAACATACCCGAAATAATTACATAACAAGTGTTCCAGAACATCTAGAAAGTTCCAGCATATCCTCAACTTTCTTCTTCTTCTTTTGTCAAAATCTGCTTGTGCCGCTAGGCGTCGCAGTCTATCAGATGATCGGCAACCGAGCCAGGGGGCGCTCAGTCACTTCATATGCCGTGATGTTATGAAGTCTCAAGTTGTCCGTGACTCGTTCAATCCATCTTCTTCTTGGTCTTCGCCTGCCTCTTGGTGTCTCGATTTTCATGTTGTATGCTCTTGATGCCGGCATCGTTGGTTCCATTCTCACTAGGTGACCAAACCATTTCATTCTTTGCTTCTCAATAAATTTAACGATGGGTATGGTTCCAATAGTTCTTGTAATCACATCGTTTCTCACTCGATCTCTTCTGGTTTTATTCGCAGCCATTCTCAAACATTTCATTTCACGGGTGGTTAGTCTTCTCTCGTGTTCTTTTGTTAATGTCCAAGTCTGACATTGATAACCTAATGTCGGTATAAAGATTGTATTTATAATTATCCTCAAATTTAGGCATTAAAAAAAAAACTGTTCTTTAATTTTGTATAATTTGGGTTGGAAAATGTCCGGTTTGATTTGAAAATGTCCCGAGTGGTTTGAAAATCATCCGGTTTGATTTGAAAAATGTCTTGGATTATTTGAAAAATGTCCACTTTGATTTGAAAAGACATTTTATGTGGTTTGAAAATCATCCAGTTTGATTTGACAAATTTCCTAGATGGTTTAAAAAGTGTCCAGTTTAAAGTGAAAATGGTATATTTACCATCTGTGGCATAGGGGTTACGAATGTGATTCATGGTTCTGAAATAATCAATTTGATTCAGCTGCAGGCAGTTTGGCGACATATTATTTTACGTTGATTTCGACAATGGTATGCACAGTCGACCGTCCAGTAAGCAATGGCGAACTACCAAATGTAAAATTGCCTGTTAAAACCACAAATTCAGAGTTGCCACTGTATGAAGTATGGTAATTGTAATAAATCTAAAGGAATTTTTTTTTCAAGGCATCAAATACTTGGCATGTAGTCTGTGATAAAATAATATTCAAATAGTTTCCGATTGTATGTAATAGGGGTTAGTGTTATTTGTTTTTGTTGTTGTGAAAGATGGTTCAAAATGAGCACTGGAGTATGCTTAGCTTGTTTTGTATGGGGTTGTCCTAGGTTTAGGGATGTTTTGCTAGGTCTTCCATTATTTTGGAACAATGGCCGAAGATAATTTAAAGATTCTTGGGATAAAGAAATTGAAACCTGTGTCATTGTATTGGAAAGACATTGAACAAGCACCTTCTTCACATTATTCACCTGCTGTAAATTCTAAAGGAAAGTTCTGGTTGTTTTAAGTGCACATTTGTTATACAGATCTTGCTTTTTTGTAAGCAGACTGTTGGTTCCTTACCTTTCAGGCAGATGCACTGACTTTAAAGGAAACATCCCTAATTAATAAACACTTATAACGTGCTTCTTAGGGAAAGTAGTAGTTCTGTTTTTTAATCCCTACAATGGGCCCCTGAAACCACACAGGGAGAGCAAGCATTTCTCCTAGTGACAAGATCTTTTCTCATTACAGCTTTGGAATGTCTACAGTGACGTGCCTCTACCTCAGTCAGTGGGACAGCACTGGACAGACTTGGGTTTCCAGGGACTGGACCCAGGCACAGATTTCCGAGGCATGGGCATGTTAGGTCTGGAGCAGCTAATGTAAGCAGCATTTCTGTATCCCCTGTTATATCCTAAATTGAGCATACCGTGGATTTTCTGTCTGGCAACTTCAGGTGTGCAGGGTAACGAGCATGCTGATAGACTAGCTGCTGTCCCCCCACTGGGCGGTCAGCTACTTTATGATAAAGCGGATGGTGTGAAAGCTTTCTGGGATGAAATGAGCTGTGCAATAGAACAACAGAGAATCTTTACATTGAAAGACTAATTCCTACGGGTGGGATGGGGCGCAGGCTCATTGATTCTGTCACTATCACTGCATGAGTTGCCTTCTGTTCCGCCTGCTGTGCAAGTATCCATGTGATAACTACTATATACTTCGCCCTGCTAGAAGAAATTTAAGTGAACGCTTCACTTTCTTCTTTTACTGTCTTTCTATTCATCTGCGCTGTGCATCCCTCCTTTCCACCCACCCCCCTGACCGCTTCCCACGAAATACAGAGCCATCTTTATAGATGATGACGTCACCTGGGCGAGTGTGCTTGTGGATGAGGGCCCTTATTCCAGCATCAGCAGCTGTTTGGCTCCATTCTGTGCAATACCTGCTCACAGTGATTATTACTGCAATCTGCTTCTGCAATTTTTCTGGTGTTTGAAGGCAGAAGAAGAGGAAACTGTCTAAACGGGACAGATCTTTGTGAAACTGGTGCTTTAATTTTTTTTTTAATTTAAATTTCAGCAGCATTTGGGTCCTTAGTTCCTGGTTTTTGATTACCAGATGGCCAAATGAATAGTACATAGAAAGGTATTTTTTTTAAAAGATGCATGGAAGCCACTCAGTAAAACTGAAAAGTGGAACCTAAAAGTTTATGTTCAAATAAATTTTTTTTTTTACATACAGAGGATGTAAAACCGTGAAGATATATGTAAAAGAAAAAAAAATTAAAAGAAACAGTTTTAAGTGAGATTTAGAAGGGGGAAAACGGTGACAGGTGAAAGTTGATCAGTTGCTGGCTACATGAAGTAACTGTTGAGAGAATGATTTAGAAAGTGGAGGCTGAAGTTATGGGATAAAACAGACGCTGGAGGCTGAGATTAAAGAAAAGTTAAATTGAGTTACAGACTAACATCACAGAACTTGGGACATTTCCATCAGTGCTGTGCCCCCATCCTATTCTTCAGCAGCCAGTGAAGAGTTCCAGTCCCATTTGTACCAGATGCAGTTTTGATTATACGTCCATGTTTCCAAAGAGTGTAAAGTGTTGCCAGGTCATGCTTGTCACTCCACTGCGACAGTAAAAAATAAAAATAAAATTACAGATTGAATACATACACAAACGACCTAGAACAGTTAATCTTAAACAGATAGTGCTCTGAGGGCATTAAATGCCATCATATACTAGATCAGAGCCTTATCAAGCAGAGGGTTTTTTTTTTTTTCCTCACAGCTTTCCTTTAGAAACTTGGTGAAAATTTGGATATCTATTCTGTGACCAATCTTCCCTGTGGCTGTATACGGATGTGAGTCGTGGACTATCTCTCAGTTCTTAAGAAAGAGAATAGGGGCTTTTGAGCTGAAATGATATAGAAAGATTCTCAGAATATCTTGGACAAAGAAGGTGAGAAATATTGACATTTTGAAAGATCTGAACATCAAGAAAGATTGGCTAATAAACAGCATCCTTTCTCGAAATCTGAAATATTTTGGTCATATCAAGCGCCACGACGGATTGGAAAAAAATTATAGCAGAAGGCATGGTACCAGAAAGGAAAGGCAGGGGCCGACCGACACAAAGATGGACACAGGATATAAGTGACTCCTTGAGTGTGAAAGTACATAAGGCGGGAGAACTGGTGAGAGACTGAGTTTCTTTCTGGCAGACTGTGATGAGAGTGACGTTCTGCAAAGGACCTGCTACATGGTGATCATTCTATGACCAAGTGCATTGACACCATGTTGTCAGCTTTATGTTACTCCTGCCTTATAAGAACAACTCTAAAAGCTCTTAAGTTATCCACTGATTGAGTAGAGAGGGGTTTGCAGTTTTCATAAGGTATCCCACTGGATTTTAGTTGCAACCATGTCCATTCTCATTCTAAGACCTGGAATTCATACTGTGAAACTGCAAAATATCACTGATGTTGCTTTATATTCTCTTGTGTTTGATATTTACTTCACATTTTCAAACTGAACATTGTGTGTATATTTCTTAGTTATTTTGCACTGACTTACCCTGCTGAAGCCAGACAAGTGCTCAGTCAGTCACATCATCCCAAGTATGGGTAAGTGTACCAGTTCCATTCCCCAAGTATAGATACATGTTTTAGTGAAACAGCCCCAAGTATGTGTGAGTGTAGTAGGATTGATGAGTATGGGGAAATATAATACATTTACAGTAAATATAGTATTTTCAACAGCCCAGGAGCTGCAGCAGCATAGTGACACACAGCAAGGAGAACATCAAAAGAGATAAATGCCTGAATGGTTTAGCAGTAGGGATGGGGTGAGATAAGATCCATCATTCAGTGACAGTGTGAGATAATTAAATATGATAGTCTAAGCTTATCGGCACACAGCATGATGATGATGTTGCTAAGCGTATACATCTCTGCAACTTTGGCATCGATAACACTAAAATCCCTACTATTACTTTACTCTCAGTAGCCAGTTAAAAATTTAACTTTATCTTACTTCTTTAGCATTTTTTCCTATCTTAAGTGGTATCATACACTTGTCAGAAAATATTTGTATTTTTGTCCTTTTATTCTCAGAAAGCTGAACAACACAATACTTCGGGGCAGGTCCCATTTCCCCTAAATGTCACTTTTCTGACTTGTCTTTTCTGACTTTATGAGACGCATAGTTAATGTTATTGGCTGTTCTCATACTTGAGCAAACATGTAGGAGGTTATGATATAAATGCATTAAATAACAATAGCATTGGAGGGCTTTTCTTTAAGTTAAGTGACCTTTTTAAAGCCACGTTGATGTTAAAATTTCCCATCATCTTCAGTGATATAGGTCATAGGGTCATTGCATGGGTCACTGGATACATGTGGTTTTTTTTTTTAAAGCCCTTGGGGATCTATTATATTTAATGCTATACTCTGTTTATGTTTAATGATATAACATTTTATATAGCTTTACATTTCTTTTTGTATGTTAAAATTTGGATAAAAACATTTACAATTAATTCAACATTTCAAACTAATTTATTAGTGACCTGTGTAAAATTGATTTTGTTTGGAGGGTGGGGTGTACTAACGGGATCATGAGTATTTTTTTGTTTTTAGTGTTTCTGGAATGAAAGGGTTAACTCATGAATTTTGAAAGACTTGGCCCACATTAATGTCCCTTTACAAAAATGGCAGAGGTGTGGGTGTACAAGAAAGGCTGTAGAGATTGTAATATACTTCTAATCCCTATAAAAGTATATATTTTTTAAAAGAGAAATGAATGTACATTCTGAATCTGATGATAAGTATTTGTTTAATTTTGTTATAGTTAGTGGAAAAGAAGAATTCAGCAGGTGTTAATTTCACAAGGACAACATTTCACACAAAAATTCTTCACTTACCATGGTTTTGCAGCCACAATAGCAGTAAATATCCAAATTTGAGAACACAACTTCAAAGCTTGTTCAATTTCCTAACATATTCTAAATTTATGATAACTTTCTGGTTTAGTTTATCACTCAGGGGCTCTTAGTTCTCACCGAGTGCTAAGCAAAATTTCAGACAAAAATGGCAGAAAAATGAGCCATTACACACACACTATTTACTATTCACTTTGTACAGTTATTTACAGACTGTAGCTGTGATGATTTCAATGTAGCTTAGCCATAGTATAGTACTGTCTCTTTGTTTAGAGCACTTTCCTTCTCTTACACCATAAATAAGGTAGTATGGGACATTGTCTGTGTATTAAACTCATCAGAATCGCTAGATTCGGAATAGCTGATCGCTCAGCTTCACTTGTGAAAATTCACTGTCTGAATCACTTTTCGAAAAATCAAAATTTTTATTATCATTATCACAATTAAATGCATCTGACTGAAACAATTTCAGAGCTTCGGCTGCATAAAGACGCATTCTGCGACATGTTCTTGTGGTTAGAACATTGGTATTCATGGCACTCAAAAAGGAACTTAGAAAATGAACTGTTAAAAAAATTTCGATGTTTTTTTCTCTCAAATTATCCACGTGTGGTTTAGTCCAAGAAATGAAACTAAAAGGATTTCGGCAGAGTGACTTTCCCTGAATAGTTTATTCCTACCTCCACTGTTGTTTGGGCAGAACGGAACTTCTCAAACTACGCTCACATCGCTGTTTGGGCCTTAAAGAGTTAAGTCATTCTGTATTAGCAACTGCAATGTGCTGTTGTCTAGTTGCACTGATTCGTTGTCTAGGAGATGATGTGTCTAGTGAATGCTCTTAGCACACATTCTTTACCAAGACATTACTGGGACAAGCCGACACCACTTCGAAGTACTCAACATTTTATTGACATCTCATCACTTACATAACAGTCCTGTCCGTGTCCTAGTTTACAGCTTGCACGCACCACATCAATCAGACTCCAACACGCTGGTTTCTCACACAATCATTGACCAGAGTTCGCACAGATGGACCTGAGTCTTCGCAATCGACTTGACACAGAATTGCCTGGCTGGTCTTGGCTTCAATGGACGTCGTCGTCTGATCTTCCTCTCGCAGCAATCAGTCTCACGTTGTCATTCTCTCGATCACTCTCCCGTCCTTTCACTCCGACAGTCAACACATACTAACCCAAACTAACTGGGGTCTGGACTTATACCCAGTGTTCGTTTCACGTGGCAACACGCGGTTGTTTTTCGGGTTTCACGGGGCGACCTGTGGTCGTTCTACTTTACTTCCACATGATAACTCGTGGTCGTCACCTATCTTGAAAACCTCGTTTAATCCGAATATCTGACTTTTCTCTGTATTATTGTTAACCTTGGGCGTTCCCCCCAACCTTCCTAATCAGGGTGAAAATACCCCCCATTACAGCAACGCATTTGTTGATTTCAGTCAGCATGCTATAATTTTCTAAACTCTGGCCCATCCAGCTGTTACACTGACCAACTGTGCCTCCATTAGTGCTTTAACTCTTGCTGTCTGTGTTAGTGCGTTACCTGTTTCAGACGCAAGCATTTATTTGGTGAAGTAACTTCTTCTTATCTTCTTAGCGTTCAGCAGCTGTAAACTCCTGTGGAAAGTCTAGGGTTTTCGTCCACTTCTGGATTTTGGTTTTGTTCCAGAACTTGAGTTTTGTGTACACATCTGTTGTACACATCTGTTGTACAGATCTGGTGTGTTTATATGTAGACTTTGATGGACCCCCTCCCCCCTTCTTTCCCCCTCCACCTTCCCAATTAGTTGCATTATATGACATGCTTGTTAGAAGAAGGGCATTGGGTCTATTCTCCCTAGTTGCCTTGTAGGACATTTTCATGGGGGATGGGTTGGAGGGCACTTTGACTGTTACCACACCCCCAATAGGGCACTAGAATTCATAGGGAATACTGGAAAACCCGAACAACAACTGTGTAGGATATACAGAGCTGCAGTAACACTTGTCTGGTATTGAAGTATTAAAAAAAAAAATCTTTCTGCCTTCTCTAGATGAAACAGCCGAGACAACTGTTTTGCACACTGGAATGATAATAATATTCGGAATTTATCTACAGATTCTCATTTGCTATTGTGGGCATCAATATGACAGAAATGGGCTATACCCTACTCTTCAAGGGACGGCTGAGGTCACATTTTTATGGTCTCGATAAGCCTGATCCAGATCTAGTGGACTTACATCAAGTGTATTGTAAGTGCTTGTTATTTCTGAATTTTTGTTTAGAATGTGATGCTTTGGTATCATTTATTGTGTTGTTTGTCTGTCCTCTTGTGTAGCAATAGTAGTAATAGCAGCTGCAGTAGCAGTTGCAGCCTTCAAGGTTTGAACTTCGCTGCAGGCGGGTCGCCCTGTAGTAGTTGCTGCGTTCCTGTGTCAGTGGGCGTCATACGAAATGTTTCTCACCGTCTCATTTGAAAACCAGTGAACAAACAATTAATCTCCGCAAAATCCTGAAACATGCATTTCTGCTGCTAGAGATGCCAACACCATCAGTTCCACCAAAATTACAATTTATCATCTGTGAAGGTTAGCAGTCAATTACGGTGAGCTGGGCCATACACATGTAAAACTATTGCATTAGGTATTTCGTCAGCCCACATGCAGACAGGCATTTCACAAAAAATACACAACACACAGTGTTGCACCGAGCACTTAGTAGTTTAGGCAGCAAAACCATTTTCTTAGTTCCTGTATCTCAGGCCCTGGAAAGAAGTAAAGTCAAGAAGTGGATAAACAACCAGAACTTTCCACCTGAGGTTACAGCTGTGAACGCAGAAAAGAAGTATGCAGACTGTTAGTTCCTCATCTGTTAGGCAGATGCATTACAGCTCTGAAGGAAAACCCAGAATTAGTTTCCTTTTATGACATGCTTGTTGGGATAGTGGGTCTATTCTCCCTTTCCCCAGACTAGGGCCTGGTTCCTCACTGGTACTTAAAGAAGCAAGTTTGTTAAGTCTCATAGAAGTGAACAAATACAGCTTTGGGGGAAAATAAGTCATTATAGTTTGTCTGATTATTGTAAGCCTCCTAATGTTTAACACTCTGACTCTGTTGGCTGTTTCTCATGGACTCAATCATGGCTGATGTTTTCTGTTCTCAGGTTATTTACTGTACGAGTTCACACAATTTTGGCAATCAGAGAAACCACGGGACATTATGGAGTTCAGCCGCCTGCGGGAAAAGTTCCGCAAGAACATACAAAAGGCTTTGAAAGCACCAAAAGTTCGACTGCTGTCATCATTCCAGGAAGTGCCCAAACATTAGAACCTTCACATGCTCATCATGGCCAGAAACTAGGGAACACATCTTTGTTCCTTGTGAGTTGTTCTGTGGACATCTGTGCAAGCTCAGGTTCCAGGAATCCTAGTCAGCAAGCTTTCCTGGGATGCAAAGCAATGTTTCCTGATTGACATTTGAATAAAGAAGATGCAAACAATAAATTGCACATTTTATTGCCAGGCATTTTTCATTGAAAAGACAACCCTGTGACCAGTGCCTGCACCATATGAACTTCAGCTACATTGCAAGCGAGAACACAATATTTCAAATTTTGTGTAAATCGACTAGGGGCAGAATCTTGAGATAAACAGCTTTTGTCTAGAGTTGTGCACACAAAAAGACATGCTCATAAACCTATGCTTGCCCTGGTAGAACAGGGAGTTGCTTTTGAGAGTAGATTTTAAATTTCAGCTGTAAAGGGCCCATTTGTTTGCTTTACATTTTTAATTTTTAATTTTTACTGTGTTGTTTATCTGAAAAGACCCCAAATATAAAGGTTAGTTGCGTCGCCTTTACAGGATGTTTGCAGAACCAACCCCAGCAGCCCCTGGCTGTTGTTTTGTTTCTCTAGGCAATTTTGCATCCAGTAGTTTGCCATTGCTTTCTGGACGGTCGGCCCCCTGATACCACTGTTGAAACCAACGCAAGACGCATGGCCCGCAGCCGGGATCTAACCCGGCACGCGGGCATTATGAAGCGTTCGCATACACTTAGCCACAGAGCCGACACTAGAAATATACCAGGCAATAAATTTTGCAGTCTGTTGTTTATGTCAGCTTTGTTCAGATTTATCTGGGATTTTTGAAACTCCCAGCTGCTTGGAGCCAGGTCATCATTTGGTGGATATCTATGGGATATTATATATGACAATGTTTTGTTGTTTTTGAAATAGCATCTGTTAACTCTTCCGGTATAGTCTGTGACTGTTGTAACTCCTTTTATCTGGACAAGAGAATTTCTAGTTTGAACTAGCCGATGATTGAGCCCAAGGTAGTTGAAATACTGATTTACTGAGATAAAATTTATAATGTATAATTTAATGGCAGGAAAAATAAACTCACATAACACACTCTTGCATCGACTTGCAAAGTCCTGTAAAGGATATGTAACTATTAAAACAAACAAACAAAAACTCTTTCTGCCACAGGCAGCTATTACCTCATCTCTTGACAACTCAAGCAGTTGTACTTCAGAGAAATTTGGTTTCAAGGAATATTATATAAGAATAGTAACAATTGCCTTGTCCCTCCTCCAACATTTCACCATTTTGTAAGTTTTACAGTATAGTTTGTTAGGGTGTTTCAAGCAACCTCCAACCAGTCAACACTGCTGTAAACCATTCAAATATTATGTAACCATATTTAAAAAAAAAAAATTAACAGTTATTCAATGGCACTTTACTGTTTAAAAAAAAAACTGCATAGTTATTAAATTATGTTCCTTTCAGTAGCAATGTGTTACCTATTTTGATTAGTAAAGCAGCATCGAATAACTGTATCTCCTTTTTTTTTTTTAAACAGTATAGATTCTTTATCAGAGTCATGTAGATTGTGTGAGGGGAGAGTGTGAGATTGACACTATGTGAGGGGAGAGTGTGAAATTGACACTATGTGTCCGTGTGCTTTTGGTGGTGTATTAATGCAGCGTAATCTAGGAAGTGAGCTTGCTGATAAGCTTGCAAGAAAGGCTAATGTTTAGGGTGGATGAGCAGTGGACCAGGCTTAGATAGTGATTGCTTTTTGAGAAGCAAGACATTTGAGAGATGACTGTGAATCTGCAACCATGATCAGACTGCAAGAACAGCAAGTGAAACAGGGTCAGGCCAGACAAGAGCATGATGCAAGAAGCCAAGTAAGAAGAATAAACTGGAACAGGACTGGTGTCAACAGAACTGGTGTCCTCAGCTGCTACAATGTATTAACTGAGGAGTGGATCCGAGCACTTATAGACTGATTGGTTCTATGTTCAGTGTGTTGTTTGTCCATAAGTAATGAGGCCCACTTTTTCTTTCATCCATCTTGAAACTATTGTTGATTTTCTGTGAGTCCGGAGGTGACTTATAAGCCCGTATGATGCAGACAGATCTAGAGCAATGAGGGCAGGGAACAGTGTCTGTAGGTAAAGGGCCTGTTATACAGGTCTTTCTAGCCTGCATGCACTGTTCAGCTGCCCTTTTTCTAGAAGCCTTGCCGTGTGAAAGCTCTGTTGACAAACTAACTAGTAATGCAACCTTATGTTGTCATATGTTTTTTGGATGTATAAATATATGTTAAGAATATTGTCTATAGGACACAAAGAGGTTTTGTGTGTGTGTGTATGTGGTCCCATGACTTCCCTGTGTGAGTTATGGGGCCCTATTGTGGGGAAAACAAGAATATACTCACTGCCTCCCCAACAAGCACGTTGTAAGAGTCGGCTTTCTTCAAAGTCGGAGTACATGTGCCTGAGAGGCACGGAACCAATAGCTGCATACAAATAAGTCAGATTTGTAAACGGATGTATATGCAACAATCAGGATCTGGAACAAGACTAACGTCCAGAAGTGGATGAACAGTTTGAACTTTTCACCAGTTTACAGCCGGTGGACTTGAAGAGGTCATGTGACTGAATTGGCTATATTATCTGGGTGAAGGAAGTCTGTGGTGTTTTATGACATAGGCAGTTGAAAAATAAGTACAAGAAGGAGACCATGTTAGCTGGTTGCCGTCTTGAATTCTGGTAGTCTACATATTTGGTTTAATAGTCAAACCTCAACAACACCAAATGTTCAGTTAAGAAAAACATTCATTTAACATGAACAAAATGTTGCTTACAGCAGGGATGTATTATTATTATTAGTTCCTAGTCAGCCAGGATTTTTTGTTGTCACAAACTTAATTTTCTGTTTCTGAGAATAGGTGTTAATGAGGATTGACTGTATTTTGTTTCATTGTAATTTCAGCAAACTGATAGAAGAATGAACTTTTTAACACAAAGGTGCTCAAGAAGAAAATCAGCAGTACTGTATAACAGGATGGTATGGTAAAATCTTTAGGCAGGAGCCTGGAGGAGACATATCGATTGATCGAGAGAGCACAGTTCTATGATTAGTGATGCAATCAATGTTCATGAGAAATATACTGGTTTGTTACTTTATTAAACAAGATATTTGTTGTTATCTTTGCTTGGTGCTTTTACTTTTTTTTTTACTGCGGTGTAGAGGAATTTCTTCTTCTTCTGTTTTCATGCTTAAAATGGCAGTTCTGTTGTGGTTTACAGCTAGGCTGTGATATCTGTGTATTTCAGAGGAACATATCCCCTTTAAACAAACTCTTTGGTTGTCTTGGCATGATTGTTAGGATTCAGTGGATCAGATCTTTACTAAGTCTGTACTGTTGTGCATGTTTCATATTACTCAAGAAAACACATATAATGCTATCTTTGCTGTTGTCTAAATGTTTCACATATACATTATAGGGTATAGGAAAATCAACCTCTCCCTTTCTCACTTGTATATATATATATATATATATATATATATATATATATATATATATATATATATATATATATATATATATATATATATATATATATATATATATATATATTCAACATACACTTAGGCTTCGCAGATAAAGTAATTTATGTCATATATATATATATATTTGAAAAAAAAAATATATATATATATATATATATATATATATATATATATATATATATATAGAGAGAGAGAGAGAGAGAGAGAGAGAGAGAGAGAGAGAGAGAGAGAGAGAGAGAGAGAGAGACACACACACACACACGCACGCACGAGCGCGAAGACCTACGAAGACAGAAACAATGGTGTGACGAAGACAGAAAGACAATTTAGAAATAACATTAAAAAAAAAACACCTTGAGACAAACAGAGGAATTTTAATATTTGGGAGCAATTTTCACATCTGACGGAAAACTGGATAGAGAAATTAGCTCGAGAGGTGCCAAAGCAAATCAAGTAATGGGGCAGCTATCTACCCTGTTGGCACACAAGCAGATACCCCGAAGTATTAAAGTGAATCTTATCAGAACTATTTATTGGCCACTACTATGCTATCAGTGCCAGTCATGGGCACTTACATCCTCCAGTGAACGTAAAATTGTGATAACAGAGAGGAAATGCCTTAGAAGAGCTGCAAGAGTTTCAAGAAAAGAGAATACGAAATCACGAAATCAGAAGAATGTTAGGAATAAAGCCAGTCTTACAAGTCATGAAAGAACAAGAAATGAAGGGGTTTAGACACCTTACAAAAATGCCCGGATACTATCTGCCACAGCGAGCCGCACTGAAACGTTGCAACGGGTATAGAGTGAGCGGAAGACCTCGGAAAATATGCAGTGATGGCATTAAGAACAGCCTTACAGAAATGAACATCAATCCTAATAGTACTGTTGACAGAGCTCATCAACGAACGATACATCTCGCCCCTAAACTTCACTGAGATACAAGTGCCGGAGGTCCCGGGTTCATGCCCCGGCGAAGGCTGGGATTTTTTCACGTGAACTTATATTCTAGTAATTTCCCCCTGGTCTCTGTGTACTGGGATCGGACGCCCGTGTGTATAGTTGCCAACGTAAAAAACACAATGGCAGTTGGAAATAAAAAAAGAGTAACCTAACGGCGCTGCCCGGGCAAAATGTGGAATTATACCCAAAAGTATTTTTTAGGATCCTCGCTGGTGCTACGTAGTTCGTGCACTGCCCTGAGATTCTTCAGACTCAGGCTTAGGTTAGAAGTAGAACCGAGCACTAACGGGTTACTACCCTTGTGCCATAGATTTTTATTGGCACATGCACAGAACAGATGTGGGTTGATGTTTGCTATACAATTGGTTGGATCTGAGATTAATCTTTAAAAAAAAAATTTAAAAGTCGGGGAAATGTGAACCAGCGATAAGAAACTGTCCGCCTGTGTCCGTGCCCAACTCCGTAGCTACAGCGACATTCTTCCATTCATCCCAGAGTGT